TATACACTACTACACATCATACACTACTATACATGATACACTTATACATGATACACTACTATACATGATACACTACTATACATGATACACTACTATACATGATACACTACTATACATTATACACTACTATACATGATACACTACTATACATGATACACTACTATACATTATACACTACTATACATTATACACTACTATACATGATACACTACTACACATGATACACTACTATCCATTATACACTACTATACATGATACACTACTATACGTTCTACCCTACTATACATTATACACTACTACACATGATACACTACTATACATTATACACCACGATACATTTTACACTACTATCCATGATACACTACTATACATGTTACCCCACTATACATTATATACTACTATACATGATACACTACTATACATGATACACTACTATACATGATACACTGCTATACATGATACACTACTACACATGATACACTACTATACATTATTCACTACTATACATGATACACTACTATACATTATACACTACTATACATGATACACTACTATACATTATACCCTACTATGCATTATATACTATTATACATGATACACTACTATACATGATACACTACTATACATTATACACTACTATACATGATACACTACTCTACATGATACACTACTATACATTATTCACTACTATACATGATACACTACTACACATGATACACTACTATACATTGTACACTACTATACATTATACACTACTATACATGATACACTATTATACATGATACACTACTATACATGATACACTACTATACATGATACACTACTATACATGATACACTACTATACATTATACACCACTATACATGATACACTACTATACATTATACCCTACTATACATTATACACTACTATACATTATACACTACTATACATTATACACTACTATACATGATACACTACTACACATGATACACTACTATCCATTATACACTACTATACATGATACACTACTATACGTTCTACCCTACTATACTTTATACACTACTACACATGATACACTACTATACATTATACACCACGATACATTTTACACTACTATCCATGATACACTACTATACATGTTACCCCACTATACATTATATACGACTATACATGATACACTACTATACATGATATACTACTATACATGATACACTACTATACATATACACTACTATACATGATACACTACTATACATTATACCCTACTATACATTATACACTACTATACATGATACACTACTATACATTATACACTACTATACATTATACACTACTATACATGATACACTACTACACATGATACACTACTATACATTATACACTACTATACATGATACACTACTATACATTATACCCTACTATGCATTATACACTACTACACATGATACACTACTATACATTATACACTACTATACATTTTACACTACTATACATGATACACTACTATACGTTATACCCTACTATACATTATACACTACTACACATGATACACTACTATACATTATACACCACGATACATTTTACACTACTATCCATGATACACTACTATACATGTTACCCCACTATACATTATACACTACTATACATGATACACTACTATACATGATACACTACTATACATGATACACTACTATACATTATACACTACTATACATGATACACTACTATACATTATACCCTACTATACATTATACACTACTATACATGATACACTACTATACATTATACACTACTATACATTATACATTACTATACATTATACACTACTACACATGATACACTACTATACATTATACACTACTATACATGATACACTACTATACATTATACCCTACTATGCATTATACACTACTACACATGATACACTACTATACATTATACACTACTATACATTTTACACTACTATACATGATACACTACTATACATGTTACACCACTATACATTATACACTACTATACATGATACACTACAAAATATGATACACTACTATACATTATACACTATTATACATTATACACTACTCTACATGATACACTACTATACATGATACACTACTATACATGATAAACTACTATACATGATACACTACTAAACATTATACACTACTATACATGATACACTACTATACATTATACACTACTATACATTATACTCTACTCTACATGATACACTACTATACATGATACACCACTATATATGATAAACTACTGTACATGATACACTACTATACATTATACACTACTACACATTATACACTACTATACATGATACACTACTCTACATGATACACTACTACACATGATACACTACTATACATGATACACTACTATACATTATACGCTACTATACATGATACACTACTACACATTATACACTACTATACATGATACACTACTCTACATGATACACTACTATACATTATACACTACTATACATGATACACTACTACACATTATATCCTACTATGCATTATACACTACTACACATGATACACTACTATACATTATACACTACTATACATTTTACACTACTATACATGATACACTACTATACATGATACACTACTATACATGGTACACTACTACACATTATACACTACTATACATGATACACTACTCTACATGTTACACTGCTCTACACAGGGCGTTCCCAGGCCAGCCGAGCGACGTCGTCCCTCCAGCATCGTGTCCTGGGCCGGCTCCCGGGACTTCGCCAAGTGTCATTATTACAAATTATCATCATTATTATTATTACGATGAAGGCTGGCACGGCAGCACACGAGGGGGTGGGTGGCCAACACCACGCCCCGGCCGCCTTTGTCTCCCCAGTGGCGATGTTTTTACACCTTGCACCAGGTACTCATTTGAGGCTGAGTCGACCTAGGGGAGGCCCACGACCGATTCAGATCATTCGTCAGTGGGTGTTGGCCGTGAGCGGGAATCGCGAAGTCGGGTCTCCGTATTCGTAGTGCAGAGTGCTAACCGCTGCGCCACCGCTCTCCACCGCATGTACACATACAAAGGTAAAAAAACAGATCCCCCGTGTAGCCTTAACAGACTGTTGGGGCAAGGGCAGCTGGTGAGCACCTATGAAGGCCGGCGCGGCACACGATGGGGTGGTTGGCCAACACCACGCCCATCTGTCTTAATTTGAGGCTGTGTCGACCTAGGAGAGGCCCAAAACCGATTCAGATAATTGTCAATGGTGTTGGCCGTGAGCGGACTACAAACTCAGGTCGCCGGGTTTGGAGCTCATCGCGTTAACAGCAAAACAACCGCTCATTAATACACTCACCGACCCTCCTCGCTACCCACCCACCTAGCTACCCACCCACCTGCCCACCCACTCACCTAGCCACCCACCCACCTAGCCACCCACCCACCTAGCTACCCACTCACCTAGCCACCCACCCTCCTCGCTACCCACCCACCTAGCTACCCACCCACCTAGCCACCCACTCACCTAGCCACCCACCCTCCTCGCTACCCACCCACCTAGCTACCCACCCACCTAGCCACCCACTCACCTAGTCACCCACTCACCTAGCCACCCACCCACCTAGCTACCCACCCACCTAGCTACCCACCCACCTAGCCACCCACTCACCTAGCCACCCACCAACCTAGCTACCCACCCACCTAGCCACCCACTCACCTAGCTACCCACCCACCTAGCCACCCACCCACCTAGCCACCCACCCACCTAGCTACCCACCCACCTAACCACACACTCACCTAACCACCCACCCACCTAGCCACCCACCCAGCCATCTACTCATCCACTCACCTGGCCATCCACTCACTCACCCACTCACTCATCCAGCCATCCACCAAACCATCCACTCACCCACTCACCCACTCACTCATCCAGCCATCCATATCTACCACTCCCTACTACCCTCTCACTCGTCTGTCTACCCATCAACCCACCCACCCGTTCACCCCATCCACAACATCACCTCGCATCTCTCATCTCCCCGCTCATCCATCCACCCACCCACTTCCCCCCCCCGCACATGGCCCCCACCTCCTCCCTCCCACAGCACCCCCAACAATCTACAATCTACAACACAATAATGTGCGTGCAGTGTGTGTGTGTATGTAGAATGGTCTCCTGGCAACTTGGGAGAGATGGCAATGACAGAGCGGGTAGGGAAAGCGACTACCATCACCTGCTGCTGCTGGCAGCTTGTCCTGTATGTGGCTCGGGAAGGACCTCTCCCATCTCATCAGCACTCCCTAGAGCTGTAGAGGATGAGAGCCGTACGAGGAGGAGTAGTCGGGCTATAGAGTAGTGCAGGTAAGAGCGGGCGATGGGACGCCGCGCTCTGTGAGCATATAGGGGTCGCCACTCTGCTGTACGGAGCAGCAGCAGCAGCACCTGTGTGTCTGCCTGTAGGAGATACAGCAGCAGCTGTGTGTCTGCGTGTAGGAGATACAGCAGCAGCTGTGTGTCTGCGTGTAGGAGATACAGCAGCAGCTGTGTGTCTGCCTGTAGGAGATACAGCAGCACCTGTGTGTCTGCGTGTAGGAGATACAGCAGCAGCTGTGTGTCTGCGTGTAGGAGCAGCAGCAGCTGTGTGTCTGCCTGTAGGAGATTCAGCAACAGCTGTGTGTCTGCCTGTAGGAGATACAGCAGCAGCTGTGTGTCTGCCTGTAGGAGATACAGCAGCACCTGTGTGTCTGCGTGTAGGAGATACAGCAGCAGCTGTGTGTCTGCCTGTAGGAGATACAGCTGCAGGAGCTGTGTGTCTGCCTGTAGGAGATGCAGCAGCAGCTGTGTGTCTGCCTGTATGAGCAGCAGCAGCTGTGTGTCTGCCTGTAGGAGCAGCAGCAGCAGCTGTGTGTCTGCCTGTAGGAGATGCAGCAGCAGGAGCTGTGTGTCTGCCTGTAGGAGATGCAGTAGCAGCTGTGTGTCTGCCTGTAGGAGATACAGCAGCAGCTGTGTGTCTGCCTGTAGGAGATACAGCAACAGCTGTGTGTCTGCCTGTAGGAGCAGCAGCAGCTGTGTGTCTGCGTGTAGGAGATACAGCTGCAGGAGCTATGTGTGTGCCTGTAGGAGATGCAGCAACAGCTGTGTGTCTGCGTGTAGGAGATGCAGCAGCAGTAGTAGCGTGAGGCCGGAGAACTCATGGAGATGTGCAGAGAAGATGAATAGGGGTGGGGCTAGGGACTTGCTCTGTAGATGTCGACGAGATCAAAATGCTGGATGCTGCCATGCAGCGTGGCTGCGCCGACGCTTGCGATAGATGCTGAGTGGTATGGTACAGCCGTGCCCCTATAGATCTGCATGGTACAGCCGTGCCCCTATAGATCTGCATGGTACAGCCGTGCCCCTATAGATCTGCATGGTATAGCCGTGCCCCTATAGATCTGCATGGTATAGCCGTGCCCCTATAGATCTGCATGGTATAGCCGTGCCCCTTGAGATGCTCCTAGAGATGTTGATGTGTCATATGGTAAAAACTCGTACTGCAGCAGGCGCGTGCTGGATGGTATAGCTACACTGCTAGCGACGACGCTACAGACGTGGCCATGCCGTATGGCATAGCTGCACTGCTATAGATGTGGATGTCCTGTCGTTCTATAGCTGTGCCGTTACAGATTATGCTAGAGATGTGGATGTGCCGTATGGTATAGCCGTTCCGTGATAGATGTGGCTATGCCGTATAGATGTACCTGCTGTAGGTGTGTGCTGTATAGGATAGCTGCACTCTAGATGTGGGTCCCGGCCGTCTGTAGAGCGTCGCTATAGGCTCCGGCGTACTCTCAACCGGTGTGTTCATAATGAGGGCGAATTCTCATCCCGAATGCAGCGCTTACACGACGTGTAACTTCATGGTCAACATGTACTTATCAACAGGTGAGTGAGTGTGTGTGTGCGCACGTGTGTGTGTGTGTGCACGTGCGTGTGTGTGCACGTGTGTGTGTGTGTGCGCACGTGTGTGTGTGTGTGCGCACGTGCGTGTGTGTGTGTGCACGTGTGTGTGTGTGTGCACGTGTGTGTGTGTGCGCACGTGTGTGTGCACGTGTGTGTCTGTGTGTGCGCACGTGTGTGTGTGTGTGTGCACGTGTGTGTGTGTGTGTGCACTTGTGTGTGTGCACGTGTGTCTGTGCACTGTGTGTGTGCACGTGTGTGTGTGTATGTGTGTGTGGCGTAGTGTAGGGGTTAGCGCGCTGCGCTATGATCCTGGTGACCAAGGTTTCGATTCCCGCTCACGGCCAAACACCGGCGGTGACGATTGTCTGAACCGGTCCTGGGCCTCCCTTAGGTGGACTCAGCCTCAAATGAGTACCTGGTGCGGTGCGTAGCAAACATCGCCACTGGGGAGACAAAGGCGGCCGGGCGTGGTGTTGGCCTTCATATCTTTTACTCGCTAACGGCACTTGCCCCAGAAGTCTGTTCAGGCGATGCGGGGACATCTTTGTGTAAGTTATAATCTGTGTGAGTGTGTGGTCTAATCCACGTTAGTTTTATATGTAAAGAGATTCTAAATTCCGTAAATGCGTATTTAACGAACCATATATCTAACTCGTTCACGCCGCTTCATAAGCTACGTTTTTTATTTATTTTTGCGCAATTAAGTTGCTGTATCACAACGAGGTGATGACTTTCTCTCTGTGTTCCGTAAATTGATGTGTGGCGTATGGTCCGTGTGGATGGGTCTACGTGTGTGTGTGTGAGTGTGTGGGATCCCCTAGGTCGACTCAGCCTCAAAATGAGAACCTGGTGCTGCGTGTAGTAGCCAAGGCCAACCACTCCCTCGTGTGCCGTGCCGGCCTTGATAGGTGCTCCCTAACAGCACTCGCCCCGACAGTCTGATACAGGCTATACGGGGGATCTTTGTCTTTATTTGTTCGCGCTAAGAACTTTTGCTTCCAGAGTTCGATCCCCGCTCAGGGCCAACACCAGTGCCGATTGTCTGGACTGGTCCTGGGCCTCCCCTATGTCGACTCAGCCTCAAATGAGTAGCCTGGTGTGGTGTGTAAACTTCGCCAAAAAGGAAGACAAAGGCGGCCGGCCGTGATGCTGGCCACTCCATCGCTTCGCGTGCCGTGCCGGCCTTCATTTGTGCTCCCTAAACAGCACTCGCCCCAACAGTCTGTTACAGGCTATACGGGGGATCTTTGTCCTTATTTCTTCGCGCTAAAAACCTGTGTTTGCCAGAGTTCGATTCCCGCTCACAGGCAAACACCGGTGACGATTATCTGAACCGGTCCTGGGCCTCCCATAGGTCGACTCAGCCTCAAATTAGGACCTGGCGCGGTGCGTAAAAATATCGCCACTGTGGCACGGACGAAGGCGAGGGGAGGGTGGAGTCTTGGTCTCGCGCCATCGTGAAACGGGTAGCGCCTTACGAATCGCTGCTGCTGCTGCTGACACCACTCTCTCCTTGCTCAGTCACGACCGTAATAGGTGCTCGCTAACAGCTCAACATCCCGCGCACGTTCTGTTTAAGCAGTGGGGTGGTGGTGGGGGAGGGAGGGGAGGGGGAATGGGGTCGTGCGAGACGTGGCCAGATTTTTTTTTATTTAGAAGGTAAATCATCGAAAACACAAATTAAGCACGGGGCGCGTAAGTTACAACTTAACTCTTGTTTCATAAAACTCCTACGTGTGTTTATTAACATTAAGGCCGTAGCCATGGAGTCAACATTCGGGGGGATCAAATCTTCCAGGGGGTCTGGGGGTCCCCCCCCCCAGAAAAAATCTAAATTTGAAAACGAATTTCCTGCCTCAAATATTTAAAAATTCACTAACACATAGGATTGACTTTGTATTTATTTTATACAATAATGTCTAATAGTGTTATTGTATTACATTGCTCTGTTTTTAAATTTTTACCTTTTGTTGTTTCATTGAATGTAATGGCAGAGATTAGGGATTAATAAAGTACAACCATAACCACAATCATATAAACACAAATCTATTTTATAGCAATAAATCGGGGCGGGGGGGGGCATTTTGAGCATATTTGAATATTTTGTGTGTCCCCCCCACCAAAGATATATATTATAATAATTACGGCCTTGGTTAACATTGCGCATTTTGGAGCGTTCGAGAAGCGAAGGGGGTTCAAGGCTGCAGGTTAAGAACCACTGCGTTGCAGGCTATGTGTCAGCGGGTCCATTGTGTTATGTTGCATCGTGAATACCTGGACAGAAGTGACCTCCACCACGCTGTGTAACCTTTTGGCAAGTTATGCAGGGCGATCCATTTACAGATACCCCCCGACTCCTTCCCCCCTTCTCGACAATCCCAATGAATAATGGCGAATGCGATGGGCTCGGCACCCTACAGGGTGGGAACTGTTACAAGAAGCAGTGCTTGCATTGATATTGGTGGAAAAAAACGCTTAAAGGTTCTATGAAATACAACGGTGTCAGATACTCTGTGGTTTCTCCAGATGTATTTTAGTGGGGTGTCTATAAACGGATCGCCCTGTAATTGTCTTTTAACAAAGACCAAGTATCCCCACCCCCGGATAGCCTCAGCCGACTGTTGGGGCAAGTGCTGTTGGCGAGCGTCCTTCGTAGGCCGCACACGGAACACACCGCCCCAGGTCGTCATTTGAGGCTGAGTCGACCTAGGAGAGGCCCCGGACCGGTTCAGATAATTATCGTCGCTGGCGTCGGCCGTGAGCGACACCCCGACTCAAATCGCTCGGGTTCGTAGCGCAGCGCGCTAACCACTGCGCCACCGCTCTCTGTCTTATAACACAAAACACACATGACGTATGCAACTTATACGTGACCTATGTGTGCGTATTTTAATGATAAGCTAAGTGTCTGGCGGCATAGTATCTCACGTCTCACCCATGTGTGCAGATCAAAGCGCGTCCGTGATTCGTGCGCGTACATCTATTGCACAAAGTGCACAAAGCCTGGCACAAGGTGCTTCGTGACGAGCGGCACTCGTTTGGGTCAATTTCCGGACGAGGGGGCTCCGCCACGCCGTGTCGATCATCGTGGAGGCTTTTTTCGTTGGCAATACTTCTGGGCAATGATTGAAATATCGTCCAACGACTGATGTAGTAGCCCTGGTGAGTGCGCAATTGAAGTTACGTAGCAGGTCCGGTTCAATGAGCGATGCGCTAACCAGTGCGCCACCACTCCACGTATCCACACGACACATGTACACGCGAGTGTTACGTTGTGCGTGTGTGTGTGTGATGCGCGTGCGTGTGTGTGTGATGCGCGTGCGTGTGTGTGTGTGTGATGCACGTGTGTGTGTGTGATGCACGTGCGTGTGTGTGTGTGCGATGCACGTGCGTGTGTGTGTGATGCGCGTGCGTGCGTGTGTGTGTGATGCGCGTGCGCGTGTGTGTGTGTGTGATGCACGTGCGTGTGTGTGTGATGCGCGTGCGTGTGTGTGTGTGTGTGTGATGCATGTGCGTGTGTGATGCACGTGCGTGTGTGTGTGATGCACGTACGCGTGTGTGTGATGCACGTGCGTGTGATGCACGTGCGTGTGTGTGTGATGCACGTGCGTGTGTGTGTGTGATGCACGTGTGTGTGTGTGATGCACGTGTGTGTGATGCACGTGCGTGTATGTGTGACGCACGTGCGTGTGTGTGTGATGCACGTGCGTGTGTGTGTGTGATGCACGTGTGTGTGATGCACGTGCGTGTGTGTGTGATGCACGTGCGCGTGTGTGTGATGTACGTGCGTGTGTGTGATGCACGTGCGTGTGATGCACGTGCGTGTGTGTGATGCACGTGCGTGTGTGTGTGTGATGCACGTGTGTGTGTGTGATGCACGTGCGTGTGTGTGATGCACGTGTGTGTGATGCACGTGTGTGTGTGTGATGCACGTGCGTGTGTGTGATGCACGTGCGTGTGTGTGTGACGCACGTGCGTGTGTGTGATGCACGTGCGTGTGATGCACGTGCGTGTGTGTGATGCACGTGCGTGTGTGTGTGATGCACGTGTGTGTGTGTGTGTGATGCCCGTGCGTGTGTGTGTGATGCACGTGTGTGTGTGTGTGTGACGCACGTGTGTGTGTGTGTACGTTAGCCGTGTCTCTGCCCATCTCGTCGTGTCTCTCTGGCCGTCTCCACGTGCCTCTGTCTCGCTCTGTCCCCCCCCCCCCCCCCCCCCCCCCCCCCCCCCCCCCCCCCCCCCCCCCCCCCCCCCCCCCGTGCGTCTCGCTCTCTTCCCCGTCGATTTCTTATTGCTCCGAGTCGGGTTCCGGACCTCGGAAACTCCGCTTCCTGATAGTGGGGGGGGGGGGGACCCCTCACACCCCCCGCCCCCCGTATCACCTCCTCTTACCTCTTCCAGGCATATCTCACACCCTCCGCCACCTCATCACTTTCCACCCTAGCCCCCTCTAAACCTCCTCCTAACATTTATCACCTCCTCCACCGCACCCATCACCTCTGCCTCACGCCCATAACCTCCTCGCACTCCTCACACTTACCTCACCTCTTTCCCACACTCCTCTTCACCTCGTCACCACCTCCTCCCCACACTCCTCCCCACACTCCTCCTCTCCCATCTTCAGGTAACCATCGCTTGTCGACAATCGACGGCTTCGTGGCAGCGGCTCTCTGTGCTTATCCTGGAGGAATCCGATGAGCCATGAAGCTCTTGTTTGTCACAGATGTTCAGTAGGGGCACGGGGTAAGAACGTCACAACAACAACAACAAGCAGGACAAACACACACGGTAGTAGTGCAGAGTGCAAGAGAGGTAAACAAATCACCCAAACACAAACAAATACAAACACGAAACCATCCCCATCCTATACCAGGCAAAGCCCCGCTGAGTTCTTAACGTATTTTTAAGAAGCGACCTTGGTCACAAATGATAGTTCAACAAAGTGGGCCCCATCATTGTGGAGATTTATCGCATCAAAATAA